TGAGAAGGAATCCGTTTCGAGTTGGTTCAGAGGTACTGGTTCTGAACTCGGTAGGGCGTGCTACGACTCGATCCCCCACAACCTCCGAATCGGATAAAACATGAAGGGGTACCACACTCGTGTACCAGACCCCGTGCTAAAAAAGGATCAAAATCGCTAACCGGCTACTCCACTACGTGCGTGCTAAGGCAAAGGGCTTAATGTGACTGCGCTAGAACGAAACCGGGCGAAATAAGATCGAAAAACTCTAGGTGAAATCGTAATGTGATTGCCGATTGTTTCGCTTGACGGGAAGTCGACGACATAGCTTGTTGCTTGTGTCATTAGTGTATCGGTAGTGTTCTATCAAAGTACCGGACTATCCGACAAAACGATTCACCGTGCGGTTTGTTACGAGTATGCGCGAATAAAATCTTGTCCGCCGATTTTCAACCGACTATTTGCTTGAGGACAAGCAAAGGTTTAAGTTTGGGGAAGTTTGATGACGAGAAAACGCATCGATTATATCGCTAGATTTCATTGACGTTTTATCGCGCATTCACCGTTTTAACGCTCGATTTCTCGAGTTTTTCTTACTATTTTGCAGGTACATCATTATGTGAGGCCGAATCATGAATTAAGAGGAAAGGAACGAAAGAGACCACAAGGAGATGAAGAAAGACAGAAGCTTGCAAAAAGTCTGCATAATTTGTAACAGCCACGGTCGTTACAAGGGTGTCACGACCGTGACACCCCAATTTGGGCCATCACGACCGTGAGGAAGTAGTCACGACCGTGACACTTAAAATCCTCAAATAACGAACGTGAAGACCTTGTCACGCCCGTGACAAGGATAAAACTTGGTTTTGACTCAGACTACGTCAAGCCACCACTGAAGACCACTTCTCCTAGTAATTCTCCTCAAGGCAGCACGTGAAGACGACTTCTCCCATTTTTGCTGCCACTTTCCAACATTTTCTCAACCACTTCAGCAAGGCCCAAGAAACAAAAGACCAAGACTCCAGCCCATTAAAAGCTCTATAAATAGTACCAGCTCAGGAGAACTGAGGGACAGACTTCATTATCCAAATTTCCTGCGGAAGCTCTGCCGAATTACCTTACGCACCAGAATTATTATTCCAACATTATTTTACTTTCTGTCTTGTTTTATTTGTATCCAAACCAACCGTGTAACAATTTCTAACATTAGGAAATTGTTATACTTTTATTTGTTCCCAACCTTCAGCATTCGTTTTAATTTTTATTTCCGCCTACTCCAAGCCTTCCGGTCTGTGGAAGAAGGAGTCTACTCAGATATTTGTTAATCAGGTTTTTCAATTTATTGCACTTTAATTTAATTATAATGTCTATTTATTTCTCTGCCATGAGTAAGTTATTATTTAATTCTGTGTCTGATTCAACCTCGATGAGTAGCTAAATACCTTAGGGCGGTATGTAGTTATAACCAACTTAACCGGTAAAATATAACCATAGGCTAAAAATAATTAATCACTTAACATTCTGGCTGATACTTTTTAATTGAATTAGACCTTTTCGTTACGAGAGTAAGAAAAGGGTATTAGGTTGGGTCAAGACCACGAGAGTGTGAGATTTAACCAGATAGCTAAAGTTAGGCATTTAAATTAAACACAGCGAGAGCGCTTTAAGATAAATTAGAATTATTTAGTTCCCAAAAATTACCTCTAAACACTTATGGGCTAGCGAGAGCAGGCATAGGGCTTTAGGGATAAGATCTGATACAAGACCACGAGAGTGTGAGTTGAGGGTATTTAAACTAGTAATCTCTACCGAGTAGATTAAGTGAACATCTTTATAAGCCTAGGTTAGATTGACCCACCTAAGTTAGTTTAATTACATACCGACCGCCTTAGTATTATTTTATTAAAAACTTAAATTTAATTTCGCCTTTAATAGTCTTAAAAACCAACAACAATCGTGACAACCATTCGCCTTAGCTAAACTAGAAGTTCATCTAGCACTAAGTAACAATAGAATCCCTGTGGATCGATAATCTTAAATATTACTTCGATAGGCTGTGCACTTGCAGTAAGATACCGCTAGACGCATAAGTAGACACGTCTTTAGCCCATCAAATACTCAGAGGTATTTTCTGATTCTGAAACCGTCTTCGAACCTGTCGATTCTCGATTCAACTTAGTCGGGATTCAACTCCCTATAATCCTCCTCGAATATATCACCATCCTATCTTAATTTCTCTCAAGTTCGGGTGTAGAACTTTATCTCACCACTCAAGGACAATAATCCCAAAAGAATAAACACAAGAGAAAATAAACATTTAAGCAGGCAAGCAGATATATAAAGCAATAAACAAATAAAACAAGGTAGGGAAACCCACTAAGGCTCCCCAGTGAAGTCGCCATTTCTGTCGCGGTGAAATTTTGATACCAAACTATTAATTAGTTTGAATCGTTAATTCAATTTGCAACCGATCTTTGATTTGTCCAAAGGAAGGGATAAATATCAAAATTCCCATAATGCAATGCAAATGCAAGCCAGTTTGTTTAGGTTCGGGGATTGGTTAAACTTATGGAAGGTACTAGCATCCTCAGTTTCTGTAGTACTCTACAGGAACCTCTTGTTTTATGTTTGTTTATTGCTATGTGTTTATCTGCTTAAGGTTAAAGAACTAGGGGTTTATTTCTAAGTATACTCGATAAGATATCACATCTTATGCCTACATATCCTTACGAGAGTGGAATCAGAGTATCTGTAGTTCCCCTAAAGGGTTAGAGGAATTCTTTGACTGTGGTCAAAGTTCCTACGGGTTTAGGGTAGTTGATTAATTAGGTTTAGGAGAAGAGATGTTTTATCATTTTAAGGGAGATGTAACCGCCACTTTGAATTTTGGAATTGATTTGAATTCGAATCTTTGAATAGTGTGAACTTTCATGCGTTGTATGAATGATAACTTCTTTTAAATTTTATGAATCTCACCATGATTATGTCTTACACTTTGATATTCGAAGCATGAATCTTGTACTTGAACTTGGGATAGACAACAGTGAACTTTTAAACTAAATTGCACTTTTGTAAAGAGACATGAGTTTGGAAATCTTTTAGAAAACTTCTAGTTTATCATGAAATATCATTATGCCAAAACTCTTTTTGAATTTGCAACTTGGATAATTGAATGATGCTTGAATTGGTTTGAATTATTTCTTGTATCCAAAAACTCTTGAATTTTTCACCCTTGGATGAATTCCATCATAACTTAAGAATGAGTCAATTTAAACTTTGCTTTGATGATTTCTTACTCAAACCCTATTCAGGATTCTTATCCAAACTCTATTTAGAATTCTTATCCAAATTTGCCGCTTCAAACTATCAACAAGAAAAATTCAAACTCTTTCTCATAAATGATGACTCAACTTCATGAAATTTAGATGATGATGTAACTTGGTATGCGAACCATGTCTCGAGAAATCTTTTGAAAATAATGACACAACTTATGATGCCACTTCCCACGAAAATCCCTAACCAGTCCTCAACTGATCATCTTCAACACCAATAGAAAAAAAACCCTAGTTCTTTTGGTATGCTTGAGAATCTTTGAGGGAAATGTCCTTTGATCCTTGATAAGAGTATGCTTAAAACCTAGTTTCATGAGAGAACCCATTGAATTTATTCAAACTAATAGAAAATCTTAGGGCTCTCTAAATTAGAATGGTTATGCCCTAAAATGTCAGACTGAGAGAATGAGTATCATCTATGCTTGAAATAACTGTTCCTGCACACGCTAGTTAGTCATGATTGATATGTAATGATGCGATATGATGCACAAAAAGATGGGATCTTAGGGTTAAAAATTAGCGTGTGACAACATCCAACTTCGAAATTAACTGATAGGTATGCTTTGGAGAACTTATTCCCTTTGATTATTTCTCAAACATAATTCAAAAGTATTTGAAACTTTCTAAATTAAAAGGAAATTTAGTTATCTACTTTGAAATAAATAAACTTCGATGGATACTCTGTTAGTATTTTATGAATGCAAACGCTCATAATATTTTTTGCACCGCAATAGTAATTTTACTCTCGAACTCATTATATAAGAAAAATGAATGTCACAGAGTGTCCAAAAACTAATAGAAAGAAAACTCGAAGTGTGGGAAACAATTGCATTTGAAGCTTTATTTGGCCGCTTAGGAAGCGTTGTTACAACTCCGTTCAATGTGATGAAAACTAGAATGATGACCGTGTTTATTATTTGCTTTGTGAATCCTATCAATAAAGTTGTCAATTGATTTTGCTAGGAAACTAGTATGTTAATGATGAACCTTGTGCATTTTTATAATTTATTACATTTCTATATCATTTTGTCATCGAATGATATTAGTGTTCTCTTTGTTCTTTTATAATTGTTACTTTTTTGATATTTTTTTTATTGTTTTTTAATTGTCAATTGTAAAATTTAAGATAATTTTAGTTACATTTTTGTCACAATTACCTCTATGCATTTATTACAAAGAAAAAAAATATGAATGTATTAAATAGTTAAAGATATTATAGATAAAATAAGAATTATTATTTAAAAAATAACAAAATTAATTAGTTTTTTTTAATATATTAAAAAAGTAAAAAAAAAAAAATAAGACTTAAAAAAACGGAGGGAGTATTTATCTCGCTCACATATGCTTTATAAATTGTCTTCTTGATATTAAAAATATGCTAAAATGATTGAGACTTAAAACCTAAAGAAAATTCTTTTAGAGTTTGAACTAATTAATATTCAAAATTTTTTAATTATTTAATTAATAAATTATCCTATTCGTATTATTTTCCAAAAAGGTAAGTTTAGAGTATTATTTAGCAATTTTAATATATTTATGAAAGAGAAAATTCAACAAATCAAATACCCGGATTCTGTAACCATATTCTCGCTTCCGTGATTTCCTCCACTCACTATATTCTTTCTTTCAGTTTCTCCCCACAGTCACACTTCTTCCAAAATCACCAAAAAAAAAAAATCAATTCTCAACATGCCGATTTCTCTTGTAGACCATAACGGCCGACACGTCAGCATGCGCTGCATCTCCGATCCCACACCACTTCCAACACCGCTCGCCATCACCGTCGTCGACCACTACCTTCCTCACGACACCCACAACACTTACGCCATCACCCTCGATTCAACCGTCACCATTCAAACCCTCCTTACCTCATGCCCTTCCCTAGTCGAATCTTGGATCCTCGAAACCCAAACCCTCTCCCTCCCTTCCCCAACCACCATCGGCCTCGACATCGAGTGGCGCCCAAACTCCCAACGCGGCCAGTCAAACCCCGCCGCTACACTCCAGCTCTGCGTCAACAACCGCTGCCTCATTTTCCAGATCATCCATTCCCCTCATATTCCAACCTCCCTCTTAACCTTCATGGCAAACCCTAACAACAGATTCGTCGGCGTCGGAATCGAAGCCGACGTCGAGAAGCTTATAGAAGATTACAACATCTCTGTTGCGAACTATGTTGATCTGCGAAACCTTGCTGCTGAGGTGTTGGAAGATCGCGCTATGTTGATGTTTGGGATCAAGAAATTGGCGGAACGTGTTCTTGGGAAGATTGTTGAGAAACCGCAGAGGATTACGAGGAGTAGATGGGATAATCCGTGGCTGAATGTAGATCAGGTTAAGTATGCTGCCATTGATGCGTATATATCGTTTGAGATTGGGCGTCGTCTATACTCTAATCAGGTTATTGAATGATGATGGTTCCTCTGTTCTTGCCGTTTTGATTTGTTTAGTGTCGTTTTAGCTATGTGAGTTGTTAGCGTTTTAGGTTAATATTTGGGTTTTTTTTTTCTTTCTATTTGTGTGAAGTGAATTGCTGACAGTTATTCTGGATCAAAGTTGTTAAAACCACAAAAAGAAGAAAAGTTATGAATTAAATTCGTTATGATATCTTGGGTTTATATAATTTATTTGTTCCACTTTTTCTGTAAATTAATATTTGAATTCGATTATATTAGCTAAAAATTCAATAGTAAACAATCTCTATAATTTGTATAATTTTTAAACTGGTTTCATTAAAAATGGAAGGAAAAAAAATTTAATCCACCTCTAAATTTTAGGAATAGCAAAAAGATTTTTTCAATAATGCATTTTTTTTTTTTCAAATTTTACATGTAAAAGATGAATTGAAATTCTTTTCTTAGAATTATGATTGCGTAACAAGGGGCAACTTTAGAATTTTTTCTTAAAATAGCAATGTTATAATTTTTATTTACCAAACAAATTATAGTTTTAAAAAAATTACCAAAATGGCAAGGTTTGGAATTGCTTCAACAGAAGTTCGCCAATTCGTTTGGCGAATTAGGCCAAGCAGCAACATAAGGGATTCGCCATTTGATTTGGCGAAAGCGTGTATTTGTGGACTGGTTCGCCCATGCAATTGGCGAATCAAGGTTCTTTCATTTTTTATATTTTGCTTTTAATTATTATATAATATATTTTCGTTTTCATTTTTAAAGTTTTAAAATTTAATTGTTTTTTATTTTAATTATTATTATTTTTATATTATTAATAAACTTAAAAAAATTAAGTTTAAAAGTTTAAATTATTTTATGAAATTATAAATTTAAAATAAATTGGTTTGCTTGCTAAATTGCCCAGCTTGGGTTTTAAACTTCCCTTATATATTTTTGGGGTGGCATTTATCAATAGATGTATAGCCACCCCAGTGGTAATCACTGAGGAGGATCAATCATTTTGTATATTATGTTTTTGCTTTTTTTTGCATTTTATTTTCACTTGTTGTGATTTATTTGCGCACTAACTTATCACTTTTTAATTATAATTTTTTTTTTGCTATAAATACGAGCTCAAACACATGTTTGTTTTCACAACATTATTTCCTAAAAGACTAAAGTGTTAGTGCGGTTTGAGTTGAGTGGAGTCCATAATGTATGCATTTCTAAATCAACGTTCTTCTTCTTCGCCATCAGCATCGGAGGAACCTTTTCCAACGTTTGATATAATGAAAAGAAATGCCCTTGTGGTGTTTTCAGCAACAAAGCCTCCGATGAAGGTGCTCATGTGGAATACGCAGACGTTGGAGCACTTGCACAGGGAACTGAACCACTGGCTAGAAGGGGATATTGCTCCAGGAGAAAAGATTAGGAAAATTGAGAGGTTGGTGGAGAAGACCGATAGAAACGGAGTTACTCGTGAATGGAGAAAAGTGGAAAATGATGTCGGCGTCCTTGTGATGATGTTGACACCAAAGAAGATAAAGTTGATGGTTGTGATATCGTAGACGCTCTGTTCCAGTGTTTTGTTTTATGTCTTTACTTTGTTGTTATGTTTGTTTAATTTATGAAAGTTAACTGAGCTTGTAATAGAAGGAAATTTGCAGTTACTTCTGCTTGTAATAGAATGAAATTTGATTTTAATCAAATGAAAGTTACTATTGAATTAAATGGACACGTTTACAAATGAAACTATGATCTGCTGCTTGGTCCTAAGTTTGGACATGTCGTACGATTGTGTCCTGGTTGCCGACACGAACTACACAATCTCACTAGCTTATCCGAGGTATCCATCTCTGTTCGTATGCGCGTGCTGTTAGGCCGACCCTTCTTTTTTCTGCGCATCAAGTCATTATGCCAAACAATTTGGCCTTCGTATTCCGGCCAATAGTCTTCCTTTGCCAACACCTGAAAACTGCATGAGTAGACATTGCATAGACTTATGGCTTGGTGAACTGCAGAAAGAAGGTTGGTTGGGTCCTGGCGCGCCTTTGAACAAGCTGCTATGACATGAGAGCAAGGCATACGGAATGCTTGAAACTTTCCACAATCACACCAGCTCTTATCTAATTCAACACGATAACATCCCCTGGGCCTTCCTTCATTGTGATCTATAGCCTCGGCAACACTGAACCAACCAGCTGTACGGTCAAATATTGTGACCACGTGGGTGTTGGCTTTGCCAACTTCGTCTTTCATGAATTTCATTGCAGTATCGCTGTACAGCTGACCCGATTGTAATACCGAACCCCACTTCGCACGTCTGCTATCAAAAAGTGATCCCATCCTAAAATAGGTTGCCTTTACCAAAGCAGTTATTGGGAGGTTTCGAATTCCCTTGAAAACAGAATTCATTGACTCGACGAGGTTGGTTGTCATGTGGCCCCATCGCACCCCATTGTCGTATGCCCGCGTCCATTTCTCCCTATCAATGCCGTCAATCCATCTTAATGCATCCGCGTTGTTCAGTCTGATCTCGTCATGGTAGTATCTGAATGTTGGTTCAGTTAGTGCATACCCCGCGTTCACAACCTTCTTCCGCAGCGTCCTGTCTTTGATCTCCCTCATGAAATTTTGGGCTATATGCCTTATGCAATAGACGTGGGTCGATGGAGGATCCTGCCAACCCTTGTCATGGTTGTTGTAAGCACTCTCGATGGATGGGTGTCGATCGGAGATCAAACATAAGTTAGGTTGGGGAGACACGTATGAGCGTAGGTTTTTTAAGAAAAAACTCCAACCCCCAGCAGTCTCCCCTTCAACTATGGCGAAGGCTATCGGGAAAATGTTGTTGTTCCCGTCTTGTGCCACAGCCATCAGAAGTGTGCTCTTATATTTCCCGTAAAGCCAGGTTCCGTTAATTTGAATTATAGGTTTATAAAATGCAAACCCTTTGATGCATGGTTCGAACGTCCAAAAGACTTTGTGGAAAATTCCATTTCCAGCAACATAACTCCCGTCTGGTGTACAAGCAGGCATCGTCTCCAATATCGCAACAGTTCCTGGAGAGTAGTGTTTAAGGGCTACTAGGAATTTAGGAAGTTCCTTGTATGACTCCTCCCAATTTCCAAACACCATTTCAACAGCTTTATTCCTGGCTATCCAGGCTTTTCGGTACGAAGGAGTGTAGTTGTACCTTTGTACCATATGTGCAATTATGGTACTCACCTTCAAAGATGGGTTGTCGCTGACGACTGATAGAATCTCATCACAAATCAACTTAGAGTTGAGTTCGCGATGGTCTTGCATTGGATTCGAGATTATACAGCTGTGGGACGGACCCATTGACCCTATCTTCCAGGAATCGCTTCTCTTCCTGAAAGATGCTGTTAATTTGAACGGGCACACCTCATTACGGCAATAGATCATATACCGCGTTGGATTTGAGTGATCAACTCTGTAATCGGCTGACAATTCCATGTGAAACTGTTTGATAGCCTGGACACAATCTTGTTTCGTACGAAACTCGTCACCCTCTTTAAGTTGGCCCTGTGTTGTGTAGTTGGGGTTGTAGAAAACATCCGTTGCGGGTTCATCATCAACTAAGGTGATATCAGTCATGTGTTTTGGTGGACAATAGACATGGTCGGGTTGAACTTCATCCTCCGGATTGTTCACCATCTCGTCAACAATGACTTCAGTTGCTTCTTCTTCTTCGTCAACGACATTGACTTCGGGGTGTTCATCTTCAGAATCGCAAAAAACTTGTGACGAATCAAGTTGCTGAGACAGTTGTTGTTGTTGTAACGTAACGTATACCATGATTTCTGAGAACCCTGAATACTCGTGAGTGCGGAACATGTTACGCATGTCTTCATCATCTCGCACCTTTAAAGGAAAAAATTTGCACGAATCAAGTCCGCCAAAGAATATTGGGTTTTTGTATATTATTTGGCCAACTGGACCGCACTGCAGTTTTTTTTTCTATTCTTGACTTCAGGTGTAAAAAATTAGACCTTCTGTCAATTAAAAATCTTGTAACCTCCGTGTTTCTGAAAGTGTATCCCGAGACCTCACATTCGAAAGCTTCACCATTCATATGAGCGGCAATCATGTGTTGTGGTGTTTGAGACATTGTGGAAATTATGGTGTTTGAATAATGGAGTGTTACAATGTTTTAGTGTTTTAGTGTGTTTGAGTCTTTGAGTGTGTTTGATAAAGGCTTTATATAATGGCCTTAGTGTTTCTGAATGTTTGAGTGTTTGATAAAGGCTTTATAAAATGGGCTTAGTCTTTTTGCGTGTATCAGTAAAGTTCTGTCTTTCATTTATCACGCATGCTCCATAATCAATAACGTGAACAACATACTTGATATGAAGTGACAATGCAAAGTTCTGCATTTACATGTGATGTTCAAGTCAGGAATCTCTGTCTGCCTTTCATTTATCACGCATGCTCCATAATCAATAACGTGAACAACAGACTTGATATGAAGTGACAATGCAAAGTTCTGCATTTACATGTGATGTTCAAGTCAGGAATCTCTGTCTGCCTTTCATTTATCACGCATGCTCCATAATCAATAACGTGAACAACAGACTTGATATGAAGTGACAATGCAAAGTTCTGCAATTACTTGTGATGTTCATTTATCACGCATGCTCCATAATATGAACAAAGTATAATATGGAAAATAGTATAATATGAAATAAATCACACTTTGACTTAAATATATTAAATATATTATATAATATGATGAAATAAATCACATTACGTTGAATAAAAATATTATATAATATGATGAATAAATAATCACACTATGCAATGAATGAACCACTGTATGATTAGACGCTACACTGAAGGAATCTCCTTTTTTCACATGTGATCTGCATCCCTACATTGACCATGCAGGCCTACGAGCATCTGCTTTCATACATTAGACGGGACACTACATTACAATAAATGCCATGTAGCCTGTTTGATTAGACGCTACACTGAAGGAATCTCATTTTTTCGCAT